ACAATTTCAAACGGACCAATTCAAATTTATTCTAAACAAATCAACCTATTTTTCTTTCGTTATTACTCAGATTAATCTTATTATGTTTTAACTTAGATGATTCTTATTATGTTTGTTTTTCACCATTTCGAAGGAAGAGTTGACAAGTATGGGGGATGAAGTCGATCGGGAATTAAATGCGGCTGTGGACGAGGCTTTCGATGAATATTTTGATGAAACCATCCAAAATATCATGGAGAATCAATCTGCCAAACAGAGAAAACGTGCATATATCGAACAAAACCGTGAAGAGGGCCATAAACGGCTCTGGAATGACTACTTTTCCGAGGATCCGACATTTCCGGCTCATTTATTTAGATGGCGTTTCCGCATGAACAAGGAAGTATTCATGCGTATTGTTGATCGCCTCTCTGCAAATGTTCCATTCTTCAAACAAAGGAAAGATGCTGTTGGAAGGTTCGGTCTATCTGGACTACAGAAGTGTACAGCAGCTCTGCGTATGCTCGCTTATGGTTGTGCGGCGGACGCCGTTGACGAATATCTCTGCCTCGGTAAAAGCACAGCCCTTTCGTGTTTAACCAATTTCACAGAAAGCGTAATACAGTTATTTGGAGATGAATACCTACGACGACCAACTGCAGAGGATCTTCAACGACTACTCGATATTGGAGAGATACGCGGCTTTCCTGGGATGATAGGAAGTATCGACTGTATGCATTGGGAGTGGAAAAATTGTCCAACCGCTTGGAAAGGACAATACACACGTGGGTCAGGGAAGCCAACAATTGTCTTGGAGGCTGTGGCTTCACAAGATCTTTGGATATGGCACGCTTTTTTTGGTCTTCCAGGTACATTAAATGATATTAACATCCTCGATCGCTCACCTGTTTTTGATGACATTTTACAAGGTCGAGCTCCAACGGTCCACTACATGGTCAATGGCCACCAATATGATTTGGCGTACTACCTCACAGATGGCATATATCCAAAATAGTCAACATTTATCCAATCTATCTCACGCCCTCAAGGTCCTAAGGCTGAGTTATTTGCCAAAGTTCAAGAAGCAACCCGAAAAGATGTCGAACGTGCTTTTGGAGTATTGCAAGCCCGATTTGCGATAGTGAAGAACCCGGCAATTTTGTGGGACAAGAGACAAATAGGTATGGTTATGCGAACTTGTATCATACTCCATAATATGATAGTAGAAAATGAACGCAATGGCTACACTCAGTATGATACATCCGAATTTGAAGTAGGAGACACGAGTCGAGGTTCCCAGGTGGATATGTCATATTCTACCGAGATACCTTCAAATCTTGGTAATCTGCTTGGCGTACGAAATCAAATTCGTGATCCGCATATACATGCACAACTGAAGTATGATTTGATCGAAAATATTTGGAACAAGTTTGGTAATGATGAAAATGTTTAGTTATTGTATGTTTAAAATTAATCTTTCAATAAATAAAATTTAAAAATTTATATGTTTTACAAATTAATAAAAAAAAAAAAGTTAAGGACTCCATACCCGGTAACACGATTGGAGGACAATTTAAGATTAGGATCCTTAACTATTCTGAAAAAAAAAATACTATTTTATCCCTAAGGACTCCAATGGTGGGTAACACCATTGGAGGTGCTCTAAGATTGACATCCTCATTGCAGAAAAAGCTACTCAAGAACAGCTGTACTTTGTTGGGAACTCAAGCAATGAAGCACAACCTGTGACAAATGAGGTTGATGAAATATAAGGCCAAGAAGAGTTGTGATTCATCAACAACAATGGTAGTTGGTACAAGAAAGAACCAAACTTCCGTTACAACAACTACCCACAAGAAGGTTACCAGCAAAGGAACAACCAGCAAGGGAGTTATCAGTCTCAGCAGAACCCACCTCCAGGTTTCACCAACAAAGGGAACCAGCCTTCCCAACAGCCACAGCAGCCTAACCCTTCTTCGTCTACTCCACAGGAAACCAGCACTGACGCTCTACTGAAACAGATTCTGGAGTCTCAGACAAGAAGCGAAAAACATGTTGGATATGAGCTCAAAAACCTCTATGCCAAGATTGATGTCAGTTACAATGACCTCAACAACAAGTTCAGGGCTTTGGAGAAACAGTTTGCTTCCATGAACACAAACCCAAATCGCCAGCAAGGGTCCTTACCTGGAAAATCTGAGCAAAACCCCAAGGAGACCATGAAAGCCATCGCCCTAAGGAGTGGAAAAGAACTAGCTTCCAAGACTCTCAACAAGGATGCTGAGAAACAAGGTGAGGGGGTATCCATCAATATAGATGACGAAGTTGTGATTGTGGATGAGAAGATCAATGATGAGATCCTGGAGAAGATTATCGAAGCTAAGGGTAAAGGAAAGGTTGAGGAAGAGAAGAAAACAGTAAAAGATAATGAAGTTGTTACTCCAGCAAGTGAGAAGACTTTTGTTCCTCCTCCTTATGAACCCAAACTCCCATTCCCTGGAAGGTTCAAAAGGCAACTGCTAGAGAAGTACAAGGCTTTATTTGAGAAGCAAATGAGTGAAATTCAAGTCACAATGCCTATCATTGACGCTTTCATGCTAGTACCTCAATACAGCAAATTCCTGAAAGATGTTGTGACTGCAAAGAAGAAAGAGATGGAAGGTATGATGATCATTACTCATGAGCGCAGTGCTATCATCCAGAGGCTTGATGTTCCAAAGAAGCTACAAGATCCAGGATGCTTCACATTACCTTGTGCTATTGGACCTATGGTTTTTGAGAGATGCCTCTGCGATTTGGGAGCTAGTGTCAGCTTGATGCCTTTATCTGTTGCAAAAAGGCTTGGATTCACTCAGTACAAGAAGTGTAGACTCTCTCTAGTATTGGCTGATCGCTCAGTAAAGTACCCAGTTGGTATCTTGGAAGATTTCCCTGTGAAGATTGGAAACTATGAGATCCCTACAGATTTTGTGGTACTTGAGATGGGAGAAGAAGCTCAAGATCTTTTCATCCTTGGGAGGCCATTCTTAGCTACAGCTGGAGCTATTGTCAATGTGAAGGAAGGCAAGATTGATCTGCATTTAGGAAAAGGGAACATTCTTAACTTTGACATCAAGGAGATAATGAAGAAACCAATAGTGCAAGGACAAATCTTCTACATCGAGGAGATGGATGCTCTAGCTGACGAGTTTCTTCAAGAGTTGTCACTGGAGGATCCCCTACAACATGCCTTGACGATAGATAGAGAGTCTGCAGTAGTTCAGAATGAGGAGAGCATTGCCTATGGGATGATAATGGACTCACACAAAGGGGTGGTTAAGACAGATCAGTATGAGGAGCTGCCTCAAGTGATTCATCAAGTAGCCTCAGTCACCAAACATGAAGGAGCTCAGCAAGATGATTGGAGTGAGCTAAAGGCACCTAAAGTGGAGCTTAAACCACTTCCCCAAGGATTAAGGTACGCATTTCTTGGAACCAATGAAACATACCCTGTCATTGTGAGCAGTGAACTGAAAGAAA